TGGAGGATGGGGGCGCCGCTTAAAGCAACGAAACTTTGTGGGGGGGGGCGTCCGTGTTAACGGTTTTTTATTTTCATTATAAACAACTTGAGAAATAATTAATTTTATTTTATATGGAAACCCTTTATTTTTGAAAATTTTTATAAAAATCGAACGTTTATGTTATTTATTATAACTGAATACGTTTAATTTAATAAAATAATTAAGAAGAAATTTCTTATTTTTACCAATGAGTAAAAAGAAAATTAAATTTTTACATACCTTAACGTATCATCGTATATAGGAATGATTTTGTATTTTACAAAAAAAAACCTTTTCACGTTCATTATTACACTTTAAATTTACAATTTTCACGTTACTTAATACATAACGATTAAGAATTTAACAAAAAAAATGCACTAAAACTACTCTTTAATTATTAATTATTTGAAAACAAAAATTTTTTTTTCTTTCTTTTCAGTTAACATAACCGTATCTTAAATAAGAATGTTTGACGTTCCACTTTTTTCAAAATAGTCGTGTCAGCAGTCGAATATGTAAAAACGATTCTGATTGGTTAATTTTTTACAGCCGTAACGTTTTTTTCATTTTTTTTTTTTTTTTTTTTTAATTCTGGTGTATTAAGTTAATCAAGTTGTTGTTCTTTTTTTTTATTTTTTTTTTTGGAAATTTTATATTAAAAAAGAATATTAAAGATTTAATATTTTTGCTAGAAAAGGTTTCTATGACCGTTTATTTTTTAAATATTATTAATTTAATTGTTTATGTAATTGATTGTTAAAAAAAAAAAAATACATGTTACTTCAAGCAGGGTAAATTATTATTATTTTATAAAAATTTATTTTTTTATTTTTTGTTTAATTTAAGAAATGTAAATTATTTGGGAAAATATAAATTTATCAAATTAAAATTTTAAACAAGGAAAACAATAATAATTTATTTTTAAAAAAATTTCCTATTAAAAATTAATCAGTGGGTTTAATATCTTTTTTTATGGTATTTTTTGAGGAAAAATTCAAGGGATAATTAAATTAAATGTTTTTATCATTACATTTACTGACATTTATAAATAATAAGTTAAATAAAATCAAAATTAAATTGTATTTTAAATTTTTTAAATAATGAATGAAATAAAAACCAAAAGAAAATTAAATTATCTTTTTTACACATTCTTAAAATCTCAGAATAAATATGATTTAGTTGTTTGTAAAGATTAAAAAGTTATAATAATAATAATAATAAAATTCAATGAGATTAATGAGAATTGACTAAGCATGAATAAATTGTTATGACGAACAAAGAAAATTCAAAAATTTATTTTGACATATAAAAAATGAATGGATTTAATGAAAATCTGAAGGACATCACATAACCAAATCAGTATAGAGTCGAATAAGAAAAAAATATTTTATTGCGTTTATCGACGTTAAATAAACGATTAAATAAAATTATTATTTTTTTACATATAATAAATCTTAAATTAAAATATCTTATTTATTTTATTAAATTTTTTAAAAAGTGAAAAATATTATTTATTAGATTTTGAATTCGTTGCCAACCATTTGTGAGATTAACATGGTGTTCGTAATCAACATGGTGGACAGGCTTTATGAGCATTCAAATAAATTGGATATTGATTAGATTTTCATTAAATATTTTCGGCATTTTTATAAAATTCTATGCGAAATATTTTTCATTTAATTAAAAATCATAGTGAGTATCATTATATACTTAAAAACGATTAATATAAATAAAAATTAATTTATTTAAATGACTATAATCGTAGAATATCTGTCAAACATGTATATATATTGATTTTAATATTAGATGAAATTGAGAAATTTAAACATGTTTTAACTTGTTTATATAAAAATTTTTTATTTTAATCACTTAACGTTAAAATAAAAACGTTTAATTATATTATTCGCTTTTTTCTTGAACGTTAAATAATTTTTATACTTTTGACCTTTACTTATAATCCACTAGTTGATTATTCATATTTTCTCTGATTTTGGATAGTCAACACAATATTCCAAATTTATATGTAAATATATATACACATAAATTTATAAATTTCATTTTTTGTAATGGAAAACATAAAAATTAATGTTATTTTTTCATATTTTCAAAATTAATAAATTATAATGTTTCCATAAAGTTAATTTATATTATTACATAATAAGTATAATTTTGTTAAAAGTTATAAGAAATGATTTCAATTAAGCTATTTTTTTCTTATTATTTTACATTTACAATTTGACTTTTATTATATTATTCAGTTTTTTGTATAATTGTAAGTTTTGTATAAAAACTGATCATTATTTAATATTCGTCAACAATTTGTTGTTTTAGATATGCTGCAGATTTTTACAGGAGAAACACATGTCCATGTTAAAAAATAACAATGATAAAATCAACAAAAAAGCACAAATTAATTTTTAATTGGTTATTTGTCTTGAATCGAGGAGAAATTCTTTGACAAGATTTTTTTCCTTAAAATAAAAAAACGAGAATCTAGAAAATATGAATAAAATTTGTAAAACGAAAAATGGTAGCAAACTAGATGGTTGGATTGAATCAGATGGTCTTAAATACATTCGATTAGATCCACCAGTCGAATTTCAAGACAATCCAATTGAAAAATTTATTGAAAAATTTGCTGTCGATTTTATTTCAAAGCTCATATCGGAAGCTTTTATGATATCCTGTAAAATAACGTGGTCAATACCTTGCTCGCAAGTTTGCCACATGTCGGATTCACTTTCAGTTCATAGCGGAATTCTATGGAATAGTTTTAGATTATGCTGGACTCCAGAAGTGTTATTCAATGGTCAAAATGAAAATGCTTTACCTACATGTTTATCTACCTCCCTCAACTCTCTTTCAACTACCAGCAGTGATAATATTGATGTGTCTAATAAAATGAAATTGTCAGTTTCACATGGTAAACTCAGAGGGAAACAAATTTTAGATGTTTATAATGTGCCATTCGATAGTGATATATATGCAGTGCCTGTTGATGTAGTTCAGAATAAAAAATTAAACTCTTGTGATAAAGAAAACGAGTCAATTCACGAATGTGGTTATTCGATAGATTCAGGTTCAGATGAATACATTGTGTCTGTGGCTTCGTCTGATGATACAAGTTCTAGTCGCAACAAAATGAAATCAAAAGCTGAAATAACGACAAATAATGTGATAAGACAACCGCGTTGTATTACGGCTTCATCTTGCTCAACAACAGAACCCATACATGTGACTGTTGATGAAGTGCATCAGTACCTGAAAACATTATACGCCAATTCTAATGACGTCATAGAAAATAAAAATTTTCAACAATTTTCCAGACATTTTAAAACTCCGTTCAAATCGTTACACAATAGCACATTAAATAACGAAGAAAATATAATTAACAGTTTGAAAACGAGGAATAATAATAAGTATGTGATAGAAGAAGAAGAAAATAAAAAAATGAAAGAAAATTTAGAAACGTCGACAAAGATTTTAAGCAAATTGGAATCGAAAGAAAAATTGAAAAAATGGTCGAGTTGTCGTCCTAATTTTTCATACAACATCAAAGAAACATTGTGCAACATATTTCGTTTTAAAAAAATCCCATCTCCCGATCAATGTTTGGGAAGGAAAGAAATCAATTACAGGAGCGATGAAGTGGGTATCAGATTGAGCGGTTACGAAGATCGAAATCCGCCAAGTCCCATAACGAAACCTCCATTTTCCAAAAGAGCTTTGCCGCCACTTCCGGGAGTCGAAGACGATGATGGGGAAAAAATGGCGCTTACAACTGATTCAACTCCTTTATCCCCTCAAGAAAACAAAACGAGTAATAATACTTCTTTACCTTTCAAATCTAAAGAATCTTTTGCTTCCGTTGATTTTGCGTCCAGCATTGAAAAAGTAAAAGACGTAAGTTTTAAATCATTTTCTGTAACATAATTATTTATACAAAAAAAAAAAAATAAATTGTAATGATTCGTATGATAATTTTTTTCAGTGTGGATGGTATTGGGGTCCCATATCCGGTAAAGTGGCTGAAAAAATTTTATCCAACGAACCTGATGGATCTTTTATCGTTAGAGACAGTAGTGACGATTATTATATATTTTCACTTACATTTAAACTTAATTCTATCATAAGACACGTCCGAATAGAACATGATCACGGTATGTTTGTTTTCCTATACATTGTTTGTTTGACGTGTGCAAAACATTTTGTTTTGTTTACATTCAAATCTTTGTGTTCAGGTAATTTTAGTTTTGGAAGTTCTACAAGGTTTAAAAGTCACACGATCGTCGATTTTATAGAGAGTGCAGTCGAACACTCCAGAAGTGGTCGATATTTGTTTTTCCTTCATCGTCGACCCGTATTAGGACCAATGAGAGTACAATTACTTCATCCCGTATCACGTTTTAAACAAGTTCAAAGTCTTCAACACATGTGCAGGTATGTATGAATGGAACTTTTCCAAAGCCTCCATGTTTTTTTTTCTTCGAATGTTTGATTTTTATGTTTCTCTCTCTCTCTCTCTCTGTCTCTCCCCACAGATTTGTCATATTAAAATCAGTTAGAAAAGATCATATAAAATATTTACCACTTCCGAATAAAGTTTTGGATTATCTATCGACTCAACATTATTATTCGGAAAATTTTTTAACGGACGATCTTAGCAGCGATACATTCAAGGATAATAATAATCAATTTTGGCCTTTCGAAAATCCAACGGAGGGTTTTTCCTGAGTCAAAATCCATTCATCCAAAAAAAAAAAAAAAAAAAAAAAAAAGGCTTATTTCTCATACGTATATTTTAATAATAACGTTTTTTGCCCCGGGAAATTCAAAAAAAAAAAAAAAAAAAAAAAAAAAAAAAAAGATAAAATCTAGTCTTGATTTTTTTCACTCCCACCCCCCCTTTTTTTTTTTTGAAAGTCACTTTGCATACTCAATTATTATCAATTTGCTTTGTTTGTATTGATTAATTATTTATAATAAGGATTATTTAGGTTCAGAAAGAAAATAAATTATTATTGTAAATATGTGTGTGTATATGTCTTGCATTAATGTCAGGTTCAGGTTCAATTTTAATTTTTTTAAATTTGTTTCAAGAAGAAATCATTCGAAATGAAATGAAATTGTTTTGATTGTTTATATAGAATTCAATTGTTTTCATCGATTTGTGTTTGTTTTTTTAAAAATATCAAGAATAAAAACATTAAATAAGGCCATGCCAGACATAAATACAAGTTGCTTTTTTTTTTAATAATAATAATAATAATAATAATAATAAATACTTAAATTTGTATATATTTTGTAAATATTTTGTAAAATAAATTATTAATTTATTTTTTAAAAATAAATCATTTTCTCGATTTTTTTAAAAAATTATAATGTGTAAAAAGGTTAAATAAAAATAATAGGGGGTGGGGTGGGGGAGGGAAGGGGGAAAAACAAAAATTTATAAAATAATTTTAATTTATATATATATATATATATATATTCAATAAAATTTAAAAAAAAAAATAATAATAACAGTTTTCGTAAATAATTTGTTTTAATGAAAACTAATTTATACAGGTTTTTAAAATATTTTCAAACTAGACATAAAAATTATTTAATAAATAATAATAATAATGATATCATTATAGTATCAGTCTAGTGTGTCAAGTCATGAGTACCAATGACTCATAATAATATTTATATTATTTTTTAAAATTATTAGATTTACAATGAATTTGCTGTTGTCTGCTGTTGTTGTAATATATTTATTTATCAATTAAATTTATTTTCAGATATTAAAAATAATCCAAAAGAATTGAATAAAAAAAAAAAATAATAATAATAATTATAAATTTCGAGAAGAATATTGTTAAGAATCGTTATGGAGTCATTGGAATACCTAAGGTTTTGCGTACCAATCTTTCAGCTTTTCTATTAAATTCTTCCCTGTTTTCTCTCCACATTTTTGCAGCATCGACATTTGCTCCGCTTTCATCGTTAGGCTCTGAAAAATGTTTAATAATTATAGTAATAATGAATTTTTTTATTATATAGGTTTTTTTTTTAAAATGTGGATGAAAATTTTATTGTAAATGTTATGTTGTATTAAATTTAAGTACCAGCCAGCATGCTAACTACTGAGAGTAGTATTTTTTCTACGCTTTGAACAGGACTCCACCTTTCAGCACTGGATTCATAACCCATAGGATCATCACCCGGAGCATGAAGAATCGAAATACAAACCCTACCATCAGCATAAACTAAAAACAAAAATGGAAAACCAAATGAATTACGATTAAGAAAGTTAGTTTTGATAAATGACAGAGGAAACTTACTATTCGGATGAAACATTTCACAAGTGAATTGCATTTTAGGTGGACTAAGAGGATAGTCAGGGGGGAAAGTTAATTTGGCAGGAAAAACTCCTCCTTCAAAACATGTTCCTTCGGGTCCTCTATAAAATAAATAAAGCTGTGTACAATTTTTTTTTTTTTATTTTTTCCCTGTTTGAAAAATAGAAAATTTTTTTTTATTTACGTTATTAAAGCTTCCCATTCAAAAAAATTTTCTTCATTTACCGGTCCAGCTATAATTCCTTCAGGTGGATTTAGAGTAAGCTCTGAAATGAAAAATTTAATTTTGTGTAGTCATTATTAACAAAAAAAAAAAAAAATAAATTAAATCCGATAATGTAAACAAAAAAAATTTACAAACGTTTATATTCAGCCATTAGTCTCCGAACCGCGGAGCCTGCCATTGTCTTATTAGCATATCCTTAAAATGCAAAATATTAAATACTTTAAATTTATACAAGGTTAAATCCTTAACGAATAAACTTAAAAAATAATTAAATTGAAAATACTATTACTACACTATTCATCAAATACAAACGATATATCGAACGCTGCCTCCGATATTTTACTGAACACACTATTTCCGTTACGATTACCCTGAAAATGGTGGACGCGTTGTTTAAAACCTCGTGGCTTTTATGTTTTTAATTAATAAAAATGTTAGTCTTGTTTGAAACTGCTGCTGGTTATGCTATTTTCAAGGTGAGAATTTTATAAATTTTGTAAATTCTAACAATTACTTTTTTTTTTAACCTTTATTTATAAATACATACTTGCCGGTCACTTTCAATTCTGCATAGAATTATAGAGTGGCAGAATTTTAACTCGGCATTTGGAAATGAAATTAATAATAGGTGTAGTTATTTATACCTGACGTTTTTTATTAGCTTCTAGATGAAAAGAAGTTGGCCAAGTCTGATAATTTGTACGAGGATTTTTCATCTCCCGAAAGAGCGAGCAAGATGTAAGTTAAATTTAAAATTCACTGACCAAATTTTAAATTAGCAAGACACTTTAAAGTTAACTTTACTCGAAAGTTATTACTTGCGCTCTTATGTATTGTTTACTACTTGTTTACATATTTTGTAAATTTCAAATTAAATTTTTATGTAATGTAATTAATACTGATCTTTTTTTTTTTTTTTTTTTTCAGCATCAAATTAAAGCATTTTGAAAAATTCACAGATACTACTGAAGCTTTAGCTGCTACAACAGCAGCAGTTGAAGGTAAACTATGTAAATCGTTAAAGAAAACGCTAAAAAAATATGTTTTAAAGGATGTTCAAGAGCAACTGTTAGTGGCAGATGCTAAGCTTGGTAATGCAATTAAAGACAAATTAAGTTTACAATGTGTTTCAAATTCAAATGTGCAAGAACTATTGAGATGCATTAGGTCTCAAGCTGATAGTTTAATTTCTGGCTTGCCTAAAAAAGAAATGACTGCCATGGCTCTCGGATTAGCTCACAGGTATTCATCTACGATACTTTTTTTTTTTTTTTTTTTTTTACAATTTCAACTTTTTAATCCATTATGAAAAATATTTTTAATTAATATTTTTTCAGCTTGTCTCGTTACAAATTAAAATTCAACCCAGATAAAGTAGACACAATGATTGTTCAATCTGTAAGTTTATTGGATGACTTGGACAAAGAGCTAAATAATTATATAATGAGATGCAGAGAGTGGTATGGTTGGCATTTTCCAGAGTTGGATAAAATAGTTACTGATAATATTTCTTTTGTAAAAACAATTCAAATAATAGGAACTAGAGATAAAGCAAGAACTTCCGATTTATCCGACATATTGCCAGAAGAAGTTGAAGAAAAAGTTAAAGAAGCCGCTGAAATTTCTATGGGTACCGAAATATCTGATGAAGATGTAGAAACGATTTTAGCATGGTGTGAACAAGTAAGGAATACTTAAATATTCAGTTATAATTTTAGCTGATGTAAACTAATTAAAATTTTCTCTCACACAGATTTTGGTTTTAAGTCAATACCGGACGCATTTGCACGATTACCTCCGTTCAAGAATGATTGCCATAGCCCCAAATCTTTCCGTACTTGTTGGAGAATTGGTAGGAGCGCGATTAATATCACACGCTGGTTCTCTCATGAATTTGGCAAAACATCCAGCTTCAACTGTTCAAATATTAGGAGCTGAAAAGGCATTGTTTAGAGCTTTGAAAACTAAAAGAGATACTCCAAAATATGGTTTAATTTATCATTCAGCTCTCGTCGGTCAATCGAGTGTTAAAAATAAGGGTAAAATGTCTAGGATGTTGGCAGCGAAAGCTGCTTTAGCCACGCGTGTGGATGCATTGGGAGATGACACAACGTTAGATTTAGGTGCTCAACACAAAGCTAAATTAGAAGAAAGGCTCAGATTACTAGAAGAAGGAAGTATAAGAAAAATAAGCGGAACTGGAAAAGTTCAAGCAAAATTTGAAAAATATCATCATAAAAGGTAAAGCACATGGTTTTTTTTTTTTTTTTTTTTTGTTAAAATGGTGATTAAAAGTTATTATTTTTTACTTGCCGCTCTCAGGTAGTATTTAAGGAATCATTCCTCGAGTATGTTCAGAAGAGTGGTAAATTAATATTTCAAAAGATTTACTGACGTTAAAAATATTTTTTTCAATTGTATCAGTCTTTTGAAAACAACACTTTACTACCCTAATTCGCAAAGATCATTTTTATAAAATTGAAAATTTTTATTTTAGTGAAGTGAAACAATATCCAACTGCCATGGATTCCACAATATCTGCTAAAAAAAGAAAACTGTCTTCGGCGGAAGAAGTTAAGCCAGTCGAAGAACCGGAAGTGAAAAAATCTAAGAAAGAACAAGACAAAAGTCCCGGGAAAAAATCAAAAGCGCAAGATAACAATGTTGAAACTCCAACAACAGATTTTGGAGAATTGTCTTTGGGTAAATCAATTATAATTTTTTTTTTTTTTTTAAAGAATCAGATAAAAGAAAACGAATAATTTTTTATTTAATAAAATTTATTATTATTATTATTATTATTATTATTTACAGAAACGCCAACCAAGAAAAAGAAGAAAAAAATGAAAGGAGAAACGTCGGAAACGGTCGAGGAAGAAACTCGGACCGTAGAAAGCGAATCTAAGAAAAAGAAGAAGAAAAAATCGAAAGTAGAAGAAGCACAAGAAGAAGAGCAAGAGCAAGAAGAAGCAGAAGACGGGGAGCAAGGAGAAGTCGAAGCCACGGAAAAAAAAAAGAAAAAAAAGAAAAAGAAAGAAAAGGTCGATGACGAATAATTCTTCGTGAGCATTCATTCATTCACCCCCGCATTTTAATAATAGTTGGTAAACTAAAAATTTTAAAATATTGTTTTTTTAAAAAAAAGAAAACAATAACAATTGTAATAATTAAAATTTATTATTTTATTTTATTTAATTATCCCTTTTTTTTTTTTTTTTTGGATAAAAACGAATTTAAAAAGTAAAAAAAAACCTTTTCAGAATTATTGTACAAAAAAAAAAAGGTTGATTTCATGGCCGACCTGGCGACCGATGAATTGCAGCTTAATTAATTCATATTTTCATCATTTGACCTTTGACACGTTTTAATTTTTGTCATCTCGTAACGACGGTCAAACGATAAAAATTAAGAAAATTCAGGAGAAAATAATAATAATAATAATAATAACAATAACAATTTTTTTTCTTCCAAACCGTTTTTTTTTTTTTTTATATTTGTATTATTTTTTTTTGTATTTAAATTGTTATTATTATTATTAATTTAATTTTTTTCCTTCGTAGTTAACATTTAAATTTAATTGGTAAAAATTGAAAATGTGGAAAATTTTGGGAAAGAAAACAAAAAGAAGACTACAAATAATAATTTTCTTTAAGACAAAAAAAAAATATGGAGGATTTGGTAAATTTTTTTGTTTTTTCTGCGTGTGCGTTCTTTCGATTATTATTGAAATAATGACGATTAAGATGAAGCAGAAGACGGTGAAAAAAAAAAAAAAAATTACAATGTATTTAATGACGTTATTATTATTATTACAGATAAAAAAAAAAAAACTCAAAAGTCGTAAAAAACAAAGGATTCGTCTTGAATTTCACATTACTCATCAACTAATACAAATGAGGTAAATCAATTTTTTTTAAGGTTACGTCGTTAATAATAATAAACGTTTTGTTGTCATTTCCTGTTTATGAAATGTATATAAAATCGATAAATAACCAATTACATACTTATCGATAGTTGGAAAATATCGATCGATTTTAGTAAAACGTACGTAATTTTTTTTTTTTTTTAAACTCGGTCGTAATAATTAAATATAATTCGTCACGAAAATAAAAATTTGGGCGAAGTTTTTTAAATGTTCCACATGATGCGTTTCATTCATCTTCCGACATTAACCGGTCAAGGTCAAAACCTAAACGGTTCAAAAAAAACCTGTTAATAATAATAATAAATAAATAATTTTTATTATTATCATTATTATTTAAGGTTTTTTGCAAAAAAAAAAAACGATTGTGGTTTGAATGAATACAAAGTCGCATAGACGCCATTATTAAAAAAATTCGTCTGGCACGAACCCAAATCGATTATTTAAGTTAAATTTTTTTTTTGAAAATGGATAGAATTAAATCAAGAATCGTTTTTTTTAGTTTAAATGAAATACGTTTTGTGTAACACACATAAAAAAAATTTATCGTCTTCTGCTCCTTATTAAGCTAAACATTATTTATTTTTTTTTTTATGTGAAGCCTCCTCACACAACCTGTACGTAACGACACTTGCGTAATTTTATTATTTAAATGCCTAAAACAAAATTATTTTCAACAAATCGTAAGTTTTTCTACAATAATAATAATAATAACGAATGTTTTTTTTTTTACAATGCACGATTATTATTATTATTATTATTTTAAATTAAAAAAAAACGTATTTGCCCCGTTAACGTAAAAGGAAAAAAAAAGTAGAACGTTTATAATTTCGTGAAATTTTAAAAACGTTCCAATTTCGTTACAAGTTAAAAAACGATTACTACTCTATTCGTAACAGCATCTTTTTAATCGATGAAACTTTTAAAAAAAATTTTAATAAGATAATAATAATAATAATAAATCGTTTATTAGGAATTTAAATTTAAAAACCAAAAATTATTTTTTCGTTCGTGATTTATTTATTTTTAAATAAATTAAATTTAATTTTAAAAAAAAAATTAACGCCATTATTTAATGTTAAATATATATGGCGTGTGTGTGTGTATACCTAAATCCCTATCTCCCGTGATAATGCAAGTTTTAAAAATCATTTACTATTTAATTAACGTTTTTACAATTATATTCAGTATGAGATCAGACGCGATGGTGAACACTTCGATTGTTTTATTTGTAATTTTTAAAATAATTATGATTATTATTATTATTATTATGACAACGGTAATTATTTCGGCAAATAAATTAAATGATATTATATCGACAGATGATAGTTTAACCGTTAACGATAAGAGCCTTATACTGAAACGTTTATTTCCAACGGAAAAAATATCGAATGATCAATTAATTAAACATTCCGAACGATTTAAAAGAAGTTTAAGACCCGAATATGCATTTCCATATTATGATGATTATCTTAGACGAAAACAATATCCTTTGGGAAGAATTCCCGAAACGGGGAAACATAAAGAAAGTCATGGAATTCATGTTGCCAATTGGAGATGGGATGAAATTGGGATTTTTTTTACATTTACCGCATTTGTTGTTGTTACCGGATTGGCCAAAGTTGGTGAGTTTTCTTTTTTTTTAAATGTTATTCTCAAATGGAGAGAAAAACACTTGGGGCAATTTTTTCAAAGCAAGTTTCTTTTTTTTTTTTTTTTTTTTTTTTTTACTTTATTATATTATATAACAATTTTATTTAAATAAATATTTCATTTTTAATTAATGCATTTGAAAACTTGTTAACATGTTTTTTGAAACACAAAAATTTAAATGTATTGATAAGGGGGTGTGCTCTCCATTTGCAACAATGAGGAATTTTTTTTTTAAAAAAATAATTAATAATTTGTTTTGTTGTGTCTAATCTGAATTTGAAGGAAAAGGAGTTGATATATTTAAGTTAAAAAAAAATTACATAAATTTTCAATAACATTTATGTTAATTGTAATTTTTATTGAATATTTACATCACATTCTAAATTGTTATTACATAATGCATATAAATGAATTTAATACACATGCTAAAGTATTTTTCACACTAGCATACATTTTTTTTACATTAATAAATTCTTAAAATTATAATAAAGTAATTTTTTATAAAATAATTAATTAATTACATGCTTTTTTTTTTTGGGGGGGGGGGTGGTGGGGATGAATATTTAAAATTAAGCATTTTTTATTATTTTTATATTATAGTAATGTTAACAGTTCACAATTATTTTCATAATAGTTCAAAATAATTAACAAAATGTCGATTTAAATGATAATTTTTTTTAAAATAATGCAAATGTTTTGAATGAATGGCTTAACGTAAATTGCCGTTAAAAAATTCGTGCGCCAAAAATTTTCTAAAGCCACGTCCTTTTTCCCAATTAAAACATGGCATGCACGTAGTGTTTCATTAACGACTTTTACTTTTTTTTTTTTTTTTTTTTTGTTTTGTGTGTTTAAATAAAAATTACACCGGAATAAATGCGAATAAATTTAAATTTAAATAAAAAGTGATAATAATAGTGATAATAATAATAGTGATAATAATTACAAAGCATTCGTGCATTCATTATTAATTTTTCACATTCGATGATTGAATGAATGGCAAGTATTATTACCAAAAAAATTATGGAATTTATTATTATTTAAAATTTAGGAGCGTCAAATTTTATATATATATATAAATGAAACTTATATCGTATTTCCATTTGAAATAAAAAATTTAAATTTTATACAAGACGCCATTTAATTAAATATATATATATATATTGTTTTTAAATCTTACAATATGTGTACAAGTAATTTTAATTAACTTCTTCTTCTTCATCTACTAAAATTTTCAATTGTCTTTTTCATTCAAAAATGATGAATTTTAAAATTAAATTTTATGAATTTTTTAAATTCTGATTAATTTTTTTCTCTTTTGCATTTATAGGTTTTCATCATGCATATTGGTTGTCATCATGGTTACCTGAATCCTGGTAAGAATGTTAAATTTATTTTATGTATTTTCAATGCTTTATTTAAAGTTGAGATAATAAGCAAAATTATTGATAAATGCATATTAATTAATTTATTATCATTATTATTAAATTTCAGCCTCATGATTATCATGGGAGTCATACTAGGAACTATTTTATTGTAAGTAATGAATATTATTACAAGAAGGGATCAAACATCAATTGTTGAGGAGGTAATATTTAAATAATTCATCTAAAAGAATAATAAAGAAAAATCTAAAAAACAAAAGAGTCAGTTGAAAAAAAAAAAAAAAGAACATGAATTATCTTTTACATTAAAAAAAAAAAAAATTCTTTTGTTTCAATTAAATTTTTTTTTTTTTTTTTAGTTTGAGTGGAGTTCCTGAGCCAGAAAATGAAGCTGATAAGGTCGTGCCTGATGGGGAATTTGCATTACCAACTTTTACTCCAAGGCTATTTTTCTTGATATTACTTCCACCGTGAGCATAAATAAATTAAATGTTAATTATAAAAAAAAAAAAAAAATTTTAATGAATAATATTTTATTACCTTCAATTACAGGGTTATTTTAGAATCAGCATATTCACTTTATGACAGATCATTTGCTGATAATTTAAGTACAATTTTAGTTTATGCAGTTGTTGTAAGTTGAACCTTTTTTTTTTTTTTTTTTTTTTTTTTTTTTTCCCACATCACCATAAATTTAATTTGATATTCAAAATTTTATAAAATGGCAGAGAGAGAGATTATTTTATTTTACAGGGTACGTTAATAAACACTTTTCTCATCGGACCTATATTATACCTTCTTTCCATCGGAGGACTCATGGGAATAATTAAATTGACGATGACGGATACGATTGTATTTTCTGCACTCGTTTCAGCAGTTGATCCTGTTGCCGTTTTGGCCATATTTCAAGAAATTGGAGTTAATAAAGATTTATATTATCTTTTATTTGGTGAATCTTTACTCAATGGTAGTAAATTATTATTTATAACAAAAAAAAACAAACAAATGCGTGAAAAAAAATTTACGAGAAATACTTTAATGGAGTTTTAAATAATTTTTTGCAGATGCGGTCACGGTGGTTTTATATACAACAGCCGTCACGTTTACAGAAATGAAAAATGTCGATGGTAGTCAATTTGGCCTTGCTATCGTTGCTTTTTTTACAACAAGTTTTGGCGGTTTAGTTATAGGAATTTTTTTCGGTTTGATAACAGCCCTAATAACAAAAACTACTCAAGATGTTAGAGGTACAGAGTCTTTGTAGTTACAAATAGAAAGTTTTTGAAATAATTTAAGTAATTTTTTGTGTTTATTTTAGTCGTGGAGCCACTCGCAGTTTTGGGAATTTCCTATCTTTCGTATTTAGCAGCAGAACTTTTTCATTTTTCCGGTATTATTTCAATAATCGGTTGTGGAGTCGTGCAAGCACATTATGCTCTAAAAAATATATCAGATCATTCTAGAACGACGGTGACATATTTTACTAAAATGATAAGGTGAAAAAAAAAAAAAAATTACTATTATTATTAATATCTTCATCTTTTTTTTCTATTTAACGGTGATAAAAATTTTTTTTTTTTTTGTTTTTTTCAGTTCGACAAGCGATGCTATTATTTTTTTATTTTTGGGAATGGTTTTAGTGAGTAAACGACACGTTTGGCACACCGGTTTCGTTTTATGGACTTTGTTTTTATGTTTTATCTGCAGATTTATAGGTGACGACGAATTTTCCGGGGGAAAATTTTCATTCGAATTAAAAAATAAATAAATAATAATTGATATCTTTTTTTTTTTTTTTTTTTGGCGTTAGCCGTTTTCTGTTTAAGTTCTTTTGTAAATATGTACAGAGTTCGAAAGATAAAATTTCAAGAGCAATTTATTATGGCTTATGGAGGTTTAAGAGGAGCCGTGGCTTTTTCATTAGTCGCCATGTTGGATAAAGACGTTGTTAAAACCCAACCGATTTTTTTAACCACGACTCTTATAGTCATATTATTTACAGTTTTTATACAAGGGGGAACGATTAAATGGCTCGTCAAATTATTAAATATAAAAAAATCTTCGAGTGATGAAAAAACAATGAATGAAGAAATAAATGATAATGTAAGTATATCCGCCATATTTAAAATGAAAAAAAAAAAAAAAATGGAAAAAAAAAATAATAATAATAAAATTTTTGGTAATTTATAGATAATGAGAACTATGATGGCTGGTATAGAAGAAATTTCAGGAGTTAGAGGAGATAATTATGTTCGAGTAAGTTATTTATTAAACTATAAACATCAGGAGGTACTATCGTTTCATTTTTTATATAATTGAATTTTTTTTTTTTTTTTTCCCCAACAGAGAAAAATTCAATACATTGACGAAAATTATTTGAAAAAAATTTTTCTAAATACTACAAAATCAAACAGTTTGACGAGACTTTACGAAAAACTTGCATTGACGCAACACATAGCACATTTGTACGGACCTGTCGCCCTCATCGAAGATCAAAAAGCGGATATACTACACGAAGATTACGTAGAACCCCATAAAAAATTACTTAGAAGTGCATCCGTGAGATATTCGATAAAACCACCCGTGAAATTACCAGAAATATTTCCGGGAGTTCAATTGAGAAGGAGAACTTTATCGGATACACGTCAACCCCATTCGATAAACTTGGGAGGAAACAATACGGAATTAAAAGCCAGCACCGAACAATTGCGAAGAGCGTTTAGAGCTAGCGCGTACAATAAGGTATGATTTATTATTATTATTATTATTATTAAATATGAATCGTACGTGTGAACGTAATATTTCAGCTACACGAAAAATATGATCCCAATTTGATAAACGACGTTGACGAACGTGAAATGTTACGACGCAGACGTCAAACAGCACATAGGATAACATATCAGGCTGCATTATCACATCGTCATTCCATCGCTGCCAATTCGGATGATGGTTCCCAACCGGAAGAATATAAAGTTCCACGTAGAAAACTTCTTTCAGGTATTTTTTTTGTCAAATTTCAATTTTTATTTTTTTTATAAAAATCAACGAATCAAAATAATTAAATTTTTATAGGTTCGGATGATATCGATCCGGAAACATTGGAAGGTATCGACGTGATATTAGAAAGAGCACGACAAAGAGTTGCTAGAAACAATTCAAACGCGGATATATTTTCCGATATCCCTCTGACGCCAAAAAACGAAGGAAGAAATAGTTTTTCGACGTCGTCTCCTCTCATTCCCCATAGAAAATCAAGTTTTTTCAAATCAAACAGAAATATAAACAGACCGCGAAAAGTTTCAAGATTGTTGGAATCTTATAAGGAAAACGATAGCAACGAAGATATTTCTCATAACAACGACGAGACTCCTGATCCCGCAACACCTCAATCTCCCGTTCTTCAGGAGGTTAAAGTAGAACAAGATTTGACAAAATCACCATCATCCGATTCGACCTCTCAAGATTTATCATCAACTAATAATTCGAACGAAAAACCACCTGATGAAGTTCACGAATCAAAAGTTTGATAATAACATTTAAAGGATACATAAATAATAATGATGATAATAATGATAAAAAATTCATAGCCACTGCTATGTAATCGTACCTATAATAATAATAATAATAATAATCAAGTTAAAAATATTAATAATAATAATAATTAAAGTTTAACAAAACCCGTGTCGGACGAGGGCGTTTGAGGTATTCTAAACAAGCTAACCGGTAGCGGAGTGCAATGAGTTGAACGATAACTTTTGAGATACATATCCACCTGTAAAACAACAACAACAACAACAACAAACAAAAAATTAATTTATTTCCTTTTTTTTTTTTTTTTCGAGTCATTAAATAACAAAAAAAAAAAAAACAAAAACAAGTCACTTTTCTAAATGATAACTAGGTTGTGACTTTTTTTTTTTTTCTTTTGACAATTTTAAATTTTCACGGTTGAGTGATAACAAAGAAAAGAAAAAATGATTTAATTAAATGAGACGAATGCCTTTAGCGTTATTATTATTATTATTATTATTATTATTATTATTATTATTATTATTATTTGAACTCACCAGATACAGAGTCATGTGATTTTTTTGCTCATCCGAAAATTCTTCACCCAATTGTATCGGATAAGACGATGAATTTTCCGTTATGTACGAATATAATAATATGGAACAATTTTCTTTATCGACTTGATAACGATCCCAAATCAATGCTGAAATCAAATCAAAAAAATTATCATCATCATCATCATCATCACCATCATCATCATCATCATCATTATCATCATCATCATCATTATTATTATTATTATTATTATTATTATTATTAAAAAAACATCAACAAGCTTTTTTTCTTTTTTTTTTTCTCATTTATTCTTTCATTCTTACTTATTTTCCTTCGTCTGTCACGTCACTCTTAAAACATGATAATAATAATAATTATAATAACGATGATAATAATAATGATAATAATAATGATAATGATAATTTTGTGAAATTTTTATGTTTACCTAATTTTTTTTTAAAAAAGGGATTTAAACGTTTAAGTTGTATTAATTATACTTAATCGTAGTTTTTTGTTTTCCTCAAAAGAGAGAGAAAGAGAGAAAGAAAGAGAGAGAGAGAGAGAGAGAGAGAGAGAAAAAGAAAGAAAGAAAGAGAGAGAGAGAAAAAGAAAGAAAGAGAGAGAGAGAGAAGACATTAATTAATATTTTAATGAGTGTCTTTAAGCTTTGAAAAACAAAAAAAAACTTGAATAAATTTCCATAAGTTATTAATTAAGTCGCGCGTGTGTGTGTAATTAAAAAATTTTCCCGACATGATTTATATCAAAGAAAAAAGAAGGACGAACGAAAACAAAAACGTTTTGACAAAAAAAAAAAAAAAAACAAAAAAATTTTTTTTGTTTTCTTTTCAGGAATAAATTCAAAAAAACGCCATCATTGACACACAACTGACTGAACCGAGAGAGAGAAAAAGAGAGAGAAGAGGGGAAGTGAGGGGGAGAGAAAAACTTGACACGTGAAAAAAAAGAAAAAAAGGAAAAAATGACGTAGCAAAATTCAAAATTTTTTTTTTTGCAAACCACCAACGATGAAATTAACTCAACAATAATCCGAACAAGAATTTTATTTTATTTAATACAAAGTCTTTTCGAACGATCGTCAAAAGGAAAAAAACAAAAATGGCGATGAATTTAAAAATTCTAACGAAAATCATCTTCACGTTTTTCATTCTATTCAAATGGACGACGTCGAAACCTTTTCTGGAAGGCAAATATTTCGTTGAAAATCATTCCAGTAAGAGAATAATGTCGTCGACGGTGAAACCCATTCAAACGACGGCGACGGCGACGACGACGACGACAATTTCTCCAGTGAAATTCGTTCCTCTGTTTTCTCTACTCGCAAATTTATTTACAAATTTTTTAAAAAAAAAATTTGGAAAATTTTCCGGAGTGAACGTGAACGAAAATAAAAGACGTAAGTAGAAAATTTCTTCTTTTTCCTTTTTTAACTCCACGAAATTTAACTTTTCCATCCCCCTTTCGCGACAGGATACGATAAGATAACAGGATTGAAAAATTCAACGTCAGAAAATCAAGATGAATCTCACACGGACCACGATGTGGATTTTATGGAATGCGATGGAAATCATCTCGGTTTGTGGCCGGATAAATTCAACACACAAAATTATTACAAATGCGAAATCGATCCTAGAAATCAAATTTCGGAAAATTGTCTCGAAGATTATTTAAATTTGGAAAAACTAAATATGGCGACGGCGAAGAGTTACGTCACTCCTCCTCTTGTAATGAAAATCGATGGCGGACCAACATCGAAACCTTGTTTTCTACTCACTCACATGAAATGTTCAAACGGTTTCAAGTATTCTCACAAATGGAGGATTTGCATACCTGACATCGTGTACGGTACGATTTTGAACCTGGATTAACGCGGAAGAAAAAAACCTAATCGAAACTCACTATAAGAGATAAGAGGTATTATCGAAGAAACTCCATCCTACTGGAAAGAAAATAAGGTAAGATTTTTGTTTTCTCTCTCTCTCTCTCTCTCTTTTCTCCAGAATAAATCCCGTTTTTTTGAAACTCTTCTAATTTAGTTGACCTTTGTAAGGTCATAGGTTAACCCAACGGTTGACACCGTTAAAAAGTTTTATTATTATTATTATTATTATTATTATTATGACAACTCACCCTGTTGAATATTTTCCGACGCTAACCATTCGTTTAATATTTTCTGTCGTTTATCATCGAATATTTTCGGATATCTATATTTTAAAAATTTCGATACCAAATGATTTCCTCTATTCGTCGACAAATTTCCCTGCCTGCGGAAGGGGGCGGGGGGAAAAAAAAAAAATTGATTATTATTACAACGACTTGAACCGAGAAAAATTCTTTTTCAATAAATTATTCTATGGATTTAACTTACTCCGTACAAATAATTTCATCTTCTGTTCTCCTGATAAAAGTCACAGGGCCATTGTATTTAGTTAATTGTTCGCATGGATTTAAATTAATATAACCTCGAATGGTACGTTTGACTAATGGTTCCCACGATTGTGGCATTCTCGGTATTGCCAACGGTAAAATATCATCGAATGTTGCATCTAAAATCTATCGAAAGCGAAACATTATATAATATTTCCACGATAATATTATTATTATTAGGTTTCAACTTATTCTTACCACTCCTTTAACATCGGGATAATTCATGGCCGCCCAAGATGCCGAGTATCCGCCGATACTCCAACCGAATAATACAATATTATCCGGTGAAAATTTCAAATGATTTATTGAAAATTGCATCACGCAATCGATTGCATTTTGTTCTTGGGATGGAAATGGAATTCCCGTGCTCCCGCCGAAACCGGGATGATTCCATCCCAAAACGGAATAATTTCCTTCGATGGGTGTCATCGCTATACCGAGTTCGTAAAATCCGGCATTTCCCTCGCAACAAATGACCAAAGTGTTACCATTGGGCGTTTTTCCTCTCCTATCAATAACTATTGTATCAATATCGTTGTCATCGCGTGTTCTTAATTTAAATCTTTCCGCATTGTAATCGACAATTAATTTTCCTCTTCCGCGTAGTATAACGGAAACTATAAATAAACATTAACCTCTTTAATTAACCTCTTGTATCAGGTTGTTAACTTTTGGGAAAAATGTATAGAAAGAATTATTTTATTCGTTATTCTTACACATAAAATATTGCAATGTGCGAATAGAGCCTGGATAAACCATTTTAATTCCGAATGTTTTGGCTGCTAAAAAGCTAAGAACCTGACAAGGTATTGAAGTTATGGTGTCATAAGCAGAACTTCTAGAAGTTGGACTTTCTGCATAAAATCTACCTCCGTCATCCCTATAAATTAATTTTTACTTAAAATATGAAAAAAAAAAGCAGAATAAAAATTTATTTATACATACATAACATCACTCCATCTGAATTCGACAGGCCATTCGCTAAATTCAAAATCATATTTCATAAGAGCTTTCTAAAAAAAAAAAAAAAATGGAAATAAAAAGATTTTAAAATGAATTTTTTTTTTTTTATATTTAAATGAAAGCTATTTTAATAGATAACTAACCTTTGTATCTTTGTTTAATGATTTTTTAGCTTGCGTTAATACTTGATAAAATTTAACATAGGTTGGATTATTTAATCGTCCCAATCCTTTTATGCAATATGATGATGATAAAATGACTCCGATACCGATTAGGATTTTGGTAACTAAAGCTAAACTTTCGAATACTATATAACCCTTTTTGTAGCAAATTGTAGCTATCAAGGGAGATGTGTAAAGTCCTATATTCCATAGAATAATGAACTGAAATAATTTGTTATTAATAAATTGTTTTTGTTTTTTGTTATGAATGATACATTATGTTAACACAATTAGGTTTAAGAAAATGATTTCGAAAATTATTTAATAAATCAATACTTACGGAATGTATTATTTGACCACCGAATTTTTCAAAACCATTCATTTCGTACATGGTCTAAAAACGTTTTAAAAAAAAAAAAAAAAAATCAATTAATAATATTATCTTATTTAAATAAAATAAATTATAAAAAAATATCACGTCGGCATATATCAATTAATAAATTATTATTATTATTATATTGGAGGTTAAAAAAGTTATACGTAATTGTATCGATGAAATTTTATACGTTTTTTCTCTCCTTATAAAGTTAATTTTTATTAAATTTGCAATTAAGTAAGTTTTAAACGAAATAAAAGGAACGTATTGAAGTTTAATTAATTATTTTCGAAAAAATTTTTACGCAATCATTTAAAACTTCAATTCATTTTTGCTTAATTTGATTGTCATGTCATATAGGACGTGACAAATTTATTTAATTTATAACATTTTGAAGGATAACATGTGAAACGGGTTGTTTTTAAATTGATAAAAATTTAAAAATTTTTTTACCTGGATGGATCCATCGCGATAAATACTGTATAAAGATGGACTAAACATGAATTCCCAAATTTGTCTTATAGCGGCCATTTCAAAAATTTGGCCGAATACGTTAAAGAGCAAATTAGAAATAAAGGCCCAAAATTGTTGTTTACCTTTGATTATCTTCTACCACGATACCGTCGTGGTTGCATCCAACTTAAACAAAATGTCGATGTATAAGTGAATTCGAAGTAGGTTATTAATAAACTTATGTATTTTTATTTAATAAGGTAGCCAAAAAAAAAAATTCTTTGCTCAAATCAAAATTAATTGCAAAGAATATTTTTTTTTAAAAAATGAACATAAAAGAAAAAGAAAAATACATAGAGGATTATGAATTTCAATTTTGTGACGAAGCCAGCAAGTATGAAAAAGTGGCAAAAATTGGTCAGGGAACGTTTGGGGAAGTTTTTAAAGCTCGTGAAAAGAAAAACACTAAGAAATTCGTTGCTATGAAGAAAGTATTAATGGATAATGAAAAGGAGGGAGTAAGTTCCATTGTATTGAAACCTTCTTTCATATCTATGGGTATCAATATTCCTAAACCATTCTCTTTGTTTTCCATAAATGAAGGGAATGGTTTGCATAAGTAATCTCCCATATTTTTAATGAAAAAAAAAAAATAATAGTAATAATAATAATAATAATAATAATAAAATTTAAAAAAAAAATTATATTACTTTGGATGAGGCGAAAGAATTTCATATCGAAGATAATTAAAAAGTAAGTAGTGAAAGCTCTCTGCTTTGACTCAATAATAATAATAATAATAATTTTGACTTTAGGTCAAATCCTTTGAAATAATTTCTCTTTGTTATATTTAAAAAAAATGTTAAGCCTTTCATTCGATAAATACAAATCATTTTTTATTTATTTAAGTAATATGGGAAAAAACCAACGTAAAATCATTATCGTTAAACAATTTGCATGCTTTTTTTTTCTCCGTTAAATGAATACTCGATTTTAATAATAATTTTTATATAAAATTAACAACAAAACATGCTAAATATTGTTTTTCTCTATTTCAGTTTCCTATAACGGCATTAAGAGAAATCAAAATATTACAATTATTAAAACATGAAAACGTAGTCAATCTAATAGAAATATGTCGAACGAAAGCGACATTGACCAACAGATATCGTTCGACATTTTATTTAGTTTTCGAATTTTGCGAACATGATTTAGCTGGATTACTTTCAAATGTCAATGTTAAATTTAGCCTTGGAGAAATCAAAAAAGTCATGCAACAACTATTAAATGGTCTTTATTTTATTCATAGTAATAGAATTTTACATAGGGATATGAAAGCTGCAAATGTACTTATAACTAAATTAGGAATTTTAAAATTAGCCGATTTTGGATTGGCCAGAGCATTTAGTGCGAATAAAAGTGGTCTTGCCCAAAGGTAGTCGAATGCCCCCCCCCCTCCCTCCCCTTTTTTCTCAATGGCGTAAAATCACGTTATGAATGTTACATACATTGCAGATATACAAATCGAGTAGTCACGCTTTGGTATCGTCCGCCGGAACTTTTACTGGGGGATAGGTGTTACGGACCACCCGTTGATCTGTGGGGTGCAGGTTGCATAATGGCGGAAATGTGGACGAGGAGTCCGATAATGCAGGGATCAACAGAACAACAACAATTAACGTTAATATCACAGTTGTGCGGATCGATCACACCGGAAGTGTGGCCCGGCGTTGAAAATTTAGAACTTTATAACAAAATGGATTTGCCAAAGGGACAAAAGAGAAAAGTTAAAGATAGGTTAAAGCCTTACGTTAAAGAAATGTACGCTTGTGACTTGTTAGATAAATTATTGGTGTTGGATCCATCGAAAAGACTCGATTCGGACTCGGCGCTCAACCATGATTTTTTTTGGTCCGATCCCATGCCGAGCGATTTATCGAAAATGTTGGCTCAACACACTCAAAGCATGTTTGAATATTTGGCACCTCCTCGTCGGCCGGGACACATGAGGCCTCATCATCATCATCAGGGTGGTGCGGGAGCAGCGGGTTCAGCTGCAAAACCGTCAACGTCAATGGATAGCGGATACCAAGATAGAGTGTTTTAAAGATTAAGTGAATTTAAAAATCATTGTTAATTTAAAAAAAAAAAAAAAATTTTTTTTTTTTTCTTTTTTTTTTGTTACATCTATTATTGTTTTCTATTCGCGCCTCTTTAAAAAATTATTTTATTTATTACTTAAAAATAAATAGTTATTTGTACCGAAAAGGAAAAAAAAAAAAAAAAAAAAACTTGGTCCGAAAAATATTTTACGACGTATAATAATTATTTTTTCTACTTAAATAAAAATAAAATTAATTTTATAAATAATATTTTTTTTTTTTTTTTTTAATAATGATTAATATTTACAAAAAAAAAAAAAAAAATAATAAAAATAGCTTGCGAAGGGGAAGGGAAGAGGGGAAGGGGGGAATAAAAAAAAAAAAAAAAAATTTGAATTTAAAATTTGAATTATAAATTTATTTATCGGATGAAACGTACTGCAAATATTCCGGTATCAAATTTTTATTCAACGCGTTTTTATCTCTAAGCAATGTATCACTAATGTATAAAATTGAAACGCATGGTATTTTTTTTTTTGCCAGGTACGAAAAATTAATGGGTTGAGTGCTGCCGTGAGCTTCGTACAAGCAAAGATTGGCATCGACACCGGAATAATTTGGAGGTTGACCTTTGACGACGATACCGCATCCGGCTTCGATCAGTCTTTTAAAAGAATCGTATTTCGAATGTGATACGTGCAAGACAACTTTTTGATTTTCAAAAGGAGGGGATTCCCCATCTTTGAGTCCGATTCTCCACGAGTAAGAACATATTGCGAAATCTGCGGCGTTCGTCGATAACAAATTCAAACGAAATCTTTGTTTCGGACTTCCCCATTCGTAGTCTTCCTCTGATATTTCGTACACGTTTTTAATGGATTTCAATGCTTCGATGTAGGAGGGATGCAAAACCCATAATCCGGCTGCGATGCTTCCCATGAGTTTTTCCGCTCTTGTTAAATTTCCAGCGATCAAATGCGTGGCTTTGTTATCGAAATAAGGATAACCCGATACCACGCCTCCGGATTTTTCTATTAAACTTTTGATTTCTTCCAATTGTTTCGATATGCAAGAAATCATAAAAACTTTCGGCTTTTTATCCTTTCCATTGTCCCGGTCTAAATTTACCACCGTGCCTAAACTTATTTTCTCTAATGGATCGTCCCAACCTACTTCGGTGTGAGCCTGGGATTCGCTAACTATCACCATTTGATGACCCTCGGATTCTCCTGTCTTCTTTATCGATATGGGAGATTTAAGGTCGTGTTTCGTGTAATTTTCTTCGATTTGTTTCATCATTTTTAAACCTGTGTGAACAACAACTTCTTTGTTCGGACTATCACTTTCGGATAAATCTAAATTTAAACGTTTGAATGGGATTTCGCTGGGTGAGTCCGGAGGAAGGTCTTCCGGTTTTCTCTTGAGCATTTCCAAATGTCTCGATATTAATTCGGACATTGGCGTCGACGGTTCTTCGATTTCTACTGTTCTGGTCGGAGTATCCAAGGGAAATTCAACCCCTTGATTCATCCACTTCCAAATGCGTTTTCTTGTTCCTGGCGTAGGACTACCCTTTCCGTAGAACGCACCGTAGGGTGAGGTGGGAGTTATTGTTTTGTTAGGATCTGGACTGTTACCGCTTTTAGGAGTTTCCGTGGCTTTGACTCTTGCTAACGCGCTATGAACCGGTGTTATTTGATGAGAACCCGAACTTGTTTCTGTCACAGGTTCCGGACGTTGCGAAGGTAATTTGTCAACAGTTCTAGATTCGGTGGATTTATTAGACGGCAAAGCTGCGGGACAGGGCACTTCGTTAGATAAAAGTTTAGAGGTTTGTGAAGTGACGGATGTGTTTTTTTGTTCGGGTGAAAATTTACAATTCCCGACCAAATAAGGTTTTTCAGATACTCGAACACCGAGAGCTGCACATTTCAAAAGCCAATCGTGATGAACTACGGGAAGACCCCAACGTAAAGCTCCTTCGTATTTTTGACCGTGGGGTTCGGCACATACCAAATGAGTCGATTTCAATGCTCCCTGCTTAGGTTTTCTGGCCAATAAAGATTGAGCTATACCTCCTAATGCTTCTATCATCAATTCCATAAATTCTCTTTCACCTTGAACGTAGTTACTCACGGATATAATACAATTTTTTAAAGGTGTCACATTTCTTACGCAAGCAATCGGTTGATGATAGTAACGAGGAGTTAGAACGCATCCTTCGACACAACAGTCTTTGATAAAATATACATTTACAACTTCCTTGGCTGTTACTCCGGTCAGAAGGGCTCCAATAACGGGCACAACTGCATAATCTGGAACTCCAAAATCTCGTTTTTTTACTATTCGACCTTTCCTTTCAACAATTAAGTCTTCCAAATATTTGACTTCTTCCTCTGATAGGTCTCCTGATAAAAAAAAAGAAAGTCCAGCAAAAAATTCATCGGAGCTCAATTCTGATGACCTGGTGCTAGACTCATCTTGATTATTAAAATTATTAAAATTATTTGAGACTATGTTTGCACCGCCGTAATCCCCGTTTGTTTCTTTTGGTTTATCCAAAGGCATTCCAGGTTGAGATGAATTATACCTATTTAACAATTCATCAAAATGTGAAATTTTTTCCAATTGATCACATACAGAATCGAAATCTCTTCTGATTACTTCATTTTGTGATAAAAGTTGTGCTCCTCTTTTGCTCATGGGAGATGGGGGTTCTGATGAATTAGTAGAATTGTTTATCAATAAAAATTTACTTTCATTTGCTTTACCTTTCAATTTTATACATTCGACAAGCCAACCAATTGAAAGTATGTAAGCCCCATATTTTGCAAATTTTTCCAAGTTACCATCGTTTTCACTGGCTGCTATGACATGAGTTACAGATTCAGACATTTCATTAAATCTAGTCGCTCCACCTTTATTTAAAATTTTCTTCAATTTCTCACTTTCTTCCGCTTGAAATCCATATATAAAAATATTTAAACCATCCAAAAATTGTCCAGCATCTTTTAAATTTTTCAACAAAATGTTATTGATTGTAGTCGAGTGAGAATGTTTTGAATTTTTATCTGATCTACTTAATGTTTTATTATTTTCTATTTGTTTTGAATTTTTAGGAGTTTGAAAACTGGTTTTACTATTGAGAGTAGATAAAGTTTCATCCAAATTATTCATCGCTTTGCTACAATCAAACGATGGTTTTTTAATGATGGAAAAGTTAGCAGTAAAGTTGGCAGACATATTGGCATTGGAGTTTTTCCCATTTGGTGTTGACGATTTCGGGCTACTGCTGTATTCGATCGTGTAAGGAGTAAAGGGCAAAATTGCAGAAGCTGCGACACAATCATGAACCCATTTTGGAGTGACACAAGTAAGATTCTTATTTTTTGCAACTCTAAATTTTTCTCCTTCCGGTTTTGTAACTATAAGAATATTAGTTTGATTCACATCTAAAGCTCCCATAAACTGTCCTCCATTATTTTCTATGTGTGATTTTAAGGTATCTTTTTCTTTTTTACTAATTCCAGATGTGGTTATTTTTAAATTAAAAAACAGTGGCGAAATGTGATGTTGAAAAATTTCATCATCGCCATTAACATCGTTTACTAAATTATGTTCCCAAACATCTTCTATCCAAGATATTTTCATGATTTTTATATTATTTTTATAAGAATGTATGGCTTTATTCGATAAATTATTTTTAGCGACTAAATGAGTGACAATACTTCTCAAAGCATTGTCATAATGCCCTCCCATATATTGAACTTTTTGTTCGATTACCTTTTTGGTCGCTAAATCAAATCCACTACTGGTCACAATAAGATTTCTCATTGCTTCAGAAAAAAGTGGATAAGGGCTTGGAGGTATAGTTTTATCCTTTGAGAGACAAGTAAGTAGATATTTTACTCCTAAAATTCTGAAAAAATAAAATATGAAAAACATTTAAAAAGATTCTTTTTTAAAAAAAAAAATTTAGCTAAAAGGTGCAAATTTCTTTAAAATAATTACTATCAAATTTTCTCATCACAAACTTTTTATGTTAAAAATTGTATTAGTAATTTAATAAGAAAAAACCTATTAATCTAACAAAAGAGTTGTTAATTAGTGCAAATATTTAAAAAAAGAGTTGAATAGTTTGACACATACACATGTTTAGATGAATTAGATTTAAGTTTTTCAAAAACAGGTCCTTCAAATTTATCAAATACAAATACATCTTTTTTTTGTGGTTTATAAGTATCAAAATCTGATGGTCTTTTCCATTCTATTTTTCCACCCAATTTAATAACGAGCTCAGAAGCAAGTTTTATATCATCTGAACATTGTTCCTGAGAAGCAAGGGTGTTGGGAAGTACAAAATGTATAATCAAAGCATCTACTTGAGTCATAGCTTTGGAAAAAAAAAAAAAACATTCAACAAAGTAGTAATTAACAATACGAAACTACGCCATTTTATACACGGTAAAAATAACCGCTAAAAAAAATTGTCTCCTGACACTTTTTTTTTTTTTAACGCCACGAAATTATGAAATGCGCAAATGATAAAATTCGTTTGTTTTGCTCAGTCGTTGTTCTTTTCAGAATATTGATTCATGTGGACTTGATTTTGAAATGACGCTAAATTAAAAAACATATGGACCTGAATTTGATTTTTTTTAAAAGTAAATATTAACGCGACATCAAATATGGCAAAAGCTTTTTTATCTTTTGGTTTGATAGTTTTTCTATTAGCCGTTACAGTTAAAACGGAATATTATTCTGGTGAGTAAAAAATTTACTATTAAATAATTTAGTACCTACGTGTTAATTAAACAAATTCATATAATTACTTATTATTTTTAAAAAAAATCTAACATATTTCCATGATTCTACTTTTATTTCATTAAATAAAATTTATATTAATACAAACATATGTAATAAACTGACAATGACAAATTATACATGTATATTTTATACAAAGCATTTTTCAAATTTCAAAGTTTTATTATTATTATTATTATTATTATTAGTTAAAGCATGTCAGTTAATTAGTTTTTGTTCTTATTAAATAAAAATCAATAAGCATATTTGTTTAAATATTCAAAACAAGAATGGATTTGATTTAAATAAAAATGAGTTAACATATGTGCAGGAAACCATAACAATAGAAAAATTTAACTTATCTTAATTAGTAATAATGAATTCCCCCCCATTGTTTTTATAATACCTGATTATTTTATTTTTTTTATTTTTTTGTTAGTTTTTCCCTATTTTTAATCAGGTAGAAATAAAACATCAGGGATAAAAAATCACTTGAGCTAAACATAATGTTGCCCAAAAAAAAGTAAATTTTTTTTTTTTTAAACTTGACCTTTTATATTCTTCATTGTAAATAAAATTTTCAATTGGGAGTGGTTTTTTTTTTAATGTTTTATAAAACCTTTTTTTTTTTTTTTTAAAATAATCTGTTATGAATTCTGCAATACTTAATAATATTAATAATGAAATTACATTGATATACATCATCAATATATTTCAATCTGTTTATATGTTTTACAAATTAACAGATGTTGTAAAAAGTTTTAAGTTTTTATAAAATTATTTTATATATATATAAATAACAAATATTAAAAATGAATATTTTAATCATTGTACAGAATTTTGTTCAGAATTTAAAGAGAATCATTGTGTGTGCAACATTTAAAAAATTTTACTCTGATTTTCATTGTCAGGGTTTTTGATAAACATTTGCAAAATGCTTGAAATCATATTAAAAAGTTTAAGTTTAACATAAATTGTTTAAACAAAATTAAAAAAAATTATACTAAAATTTATTTTTTGTTGTTGTTGTTGTTAATGATTTTAAAATGATTAACCACAAACTTGAAATTTTTACACTTTTAAAAAAAGTTACATGATGACAAAACAAAATGTCTTCCATTTTTTTTTTTTTTTTTAAAAAATAATTATTAACAATATAACTATTTATAATTTTTTTAAAAATTCAATTTAAAAACTTTTCTTTTTGTTTAATGTTATATGTTTGTTACTCAGTTTGATAAAGTTTTTCTTTTTTTTTTTTTTAACATCCATGAAAACATTACTAATATAAAAAAAAATAGAAAAACTTTCTACAGCGATTCTTTCTGGAATCCCTACAGCGTTCTCACACTTTGACTTTTTATTTATATATATATATATATATATATATATATATATATATATATATATATATATATATATTTATTTATTTTTATTATAGCCAACAACAACAATTTTTATAAATAAATTAATATTAATCAATATCGGTAAAAACGTTTTATCGATAAGGATTATTACGATGATGACGTCATTTAATAAAAAAAATTTAAACCTTTTAAAAAAACTTTTGAAATAATTACCATCATTAACTTAAGAAGATTTTACCCGTTTATTCCACCCTTTCCCACCGTCTTCCCCCCCGGATTAAATAATACAACTACGTCATAAGGGTTTAGTAACTCTTTTGTGAAAACTCGGAAGATTTTCTTTTTTTTAAAAAAAGGTTTTCTTTTGTAGATATAACGGAAGATGAATTTAAAAAACTACAACAAATAGCAAAATATTTGCAAAAAAGCGTAGAAGAAGCAGAATTGAGAGAAGGATTACGAGAGGGAGGAAATAATAATAATAATAATAATAATAACGGATATGATTCTTATAAAACAAATAAAGAATACCGGAAACCGGAATTTGATTACGTCATGGAAGGTAAACCGGAAGAAAGTGAATTTGCCGTAAATCCGTCTGATCCGAGATATTTTGGAAATTTCAAAGATTACAATTCGAACATATTAAGAAATTCGGAAATGGATAATACAAATAATAATAATAATAATAATGTTAATAATAATAATGATGTCGTTTTTGAAACGAGTAAAACATCGAGAGATACGAATAATAAAGAAACGTCATCTTCGTACCTGGATTCGGGTGTACGTATGATACCTGTTAGCAGCCTTCCGGCGGAAGTCAATAGATCTGATTTTTATTTTACAGGTACGTAAATAAAATTTATTAATAATGATATTAAAATAATTGAAAAAAAAAAAAAAAATGAATAATTTTAATAATTGTTTGTTTGTTTGTTTGTTGTAATTAGCCATAGTTGCTGGTTGTACCGGTGCAGCGATTGTTTGTATTATCGTCATTGGTATCAGCTGTTACAGGTGAGTGAAATCAAACGTTTAATTAATTATTTATTAACAAAAAATTAACAATCAAAAAAAAAAAAAAACGATATGATAAAATTTTTAAGACACACACCCCCCCCCCTAAATTAATAATTTGGGTTATTTTATTGTTCAAAAAAAAAAATTTTAGAGCGAAAATTAAGAAAGTTTCGATTGGTTTTTAGAAAAAAAAAAAAAAAAAAAAACTTTCTATTGATTTATATTATGTAATTTAAATTGGGATTTAATTGATCGATGCCTGTCGAAAAAATTTATTCGGTTACACGCACACACACGCACAAACACACAAATATTTGAATATTTAATTATTATTATTATTCCAAAGGGGGGAAATTTTTATTGAAATGAAAAGAAGACATTTTGAAAAGTAGGAAAACAAAACAAAAAAAAAAAAAACTTTTTTTTACAAATTACAAATGATACACTTTTCCATTCGTGTTCGTTTAACCCTTTTTCTTTTAACGCCTTTTATTATTATTATTATTATTATTATTATTTTTAAACTTTTCATCTCTTTGATGTTGAAAATTTAAATTCTTTCGCACAAAAGATATTTAATTTTTTAACTTTTGTTTCCCCCCAATTTTGTGGGTAACGATAACCATTTTAGTTTTATTGTTTTTCCGGAAAAACTTTTCTTTTTTTTTGTTTGGAAAATAGGTAATAATGTTTTTTTTTACCCATCGTTACGATTTTATTATTATTATTATTTTTTAGAATATTCGTCAATATCATATTTGATACAAAAATTTGTTTAGTTTAAATAACAAAAAAAAAAAATTTAATGCCGTTACGCCAACAGGTTTTTATGTTTTCGAACGTTAGTTTTTATACGATTTAGTTTCATCGAAAAAAAAAAAAAAAATGAAAAGAACGTAGAATTATTATTATCATTATTTTTTTTATTGCTTACATTTATTATAAATATTATTTTAAATCAAAGAGAAAAAAAAAAAAAAAAAAAAAAATGTAGAACGGAAACCACAACAGGTCGGCTTTTTCCTCATTGATAGTATTAAAAATGTGAGTTGAGGTCACGAAAAGTCGATCGTATTGAGCGTCCTCTAACGGGAAATTTTAGTACTATTCAAGTTGCTAAAATTTCCCGCCAGACGTCGTTAGTTATAAATAATAATTCGTTATTTTCAAAATGGCGGTGAGTTTTCAAGGATGAACACGTTAAAAGTTTAAATTGCTTTATGTTTATGTATATATTTATTACGTTACGTACCTGAAATTGGGAAAATAAGGGGATAATTTTTTGAAGTGGAAAACCGGAAAAGGTTGAATACAAAACTAAAAATACGTTAAAAAGGTTTAGGAAATGTCAGAACCGAGTTTCTGACATTTAAATACCGTCCCCCCCCCAAAAAAAAAAAAACGAATAAATGGTTTTGAAAATTTTTTTTTTTTTTGGGGGGGGGGGTTTATACATAAGCTATTAAGTATTTTGTAAATCGCATCACGTAATTTTTTTTTTTACTTTTTTTTTTTTTCATTTTCCTTATATAATATTTACTGGGAAAATTTTTTTATTGGTTTTTCCCCTTTTCCGTAGGCTTTTCTAAAAGGTTCGTTTTTCACAATTTGGAAAATATTTATTGTTCGAATATCGGAAAATATTTAAAATTTATTACACGTGCGGATGTTATCCGAATAATAAGATATTTAATAAAATTTTCAACGATTGAAAAATTTTATTTTTTTAAAAACATTTTCCAAATGAAATTAATCGGAAAATTATTTGAAATTTTGAATTTTCCAAAAAAAAAAAAAAAATGGCGAATTTTATTTATTTATTTATCTGATTAGGAAAATTTTTTTTCGTTGTTTTTTCGGGTAGTTTTTGTAGCCCCCCCCCCCTAAAAAAAAAAGAATCCTGTGTTTGTATTTTTTTTTTATCAGGAACGTTTGGTATATTGTGATTACGAAGGTTTTTCCGGTTTTTTTTTGGGGGGGGGGGTTTGCGATACGGGTTAAATGAAAATTTTTTTTGTTGGGAAATTTAAAATATTTCCAGAACGTTTTTATCGGTCTCCCTTAACTTTTTTTCTATTCGTAAAACTTTAACGATAACAGATGGAATATATATTTAATAAATAAAAGTTTTTTTTGGGGGGGGGATGGGGGGTTGATAGTTGCGATACAGAAAAAAAACAAAAATTTTAACTTATGTGAATTTTTTTGCTTTGTTTGTTTGTTTGAATGCATGCCTTGCAGTTGTTGAGCCCCCCAAAAAAAAACTTTTTAAAAAATTTAAATCTTTTTCCTTCTGTAGAATTTAAACATTAAAAATTTATTTGTTTTTCCGTGACGTCATCAACAATTTGATTTTTATTTATTTATTTATTTTATTTCTCTCTCTCGGTTTTTTTTATTTTTATTTTTTAAATGTTTCATTGTTTTCAATATTGTTTTCACGTCAGGTATGTAAATGCATGCCAACAACAACAACAACAACAAAAACAACAACAGCACGAGGGGAAAATTTTTTAAAAGATTGCAAATGGGGGGGGGGAAAAAGAAAATTTTTAAATAACGTCCAACTGTCAGTTACACAACTCGATAAATTTCATCAAAATTCTTTCAAAAAAAAAAATTAAATTTTCCTTAAGTTAAGATGAAACTAATAATAATAATAATAATAATAATGGGTGGGGGGATGGTTTAAAAATAAACTGTACACAATTTCCCCCCTCCCCTAATTAAATGGAAAATTGTGGGTTTGACAAGTTTTCTTTGAAAATTTTTTTTATTTTTATAGACAAAAAACGTCTGCTTCGATTTTGTTAATTATTTCTCGACTTGTGATTTTTTTTTTGTAGAAAATTTTCAAAATGGCTTAAAATAATTTTCCTCGAGTTTAAAATCACTTTAAAAAAAAAAAAATTTAAGGGAAAAAGGGAAAAAAAGGGAGAAAAAAAAGGGTTAAGGGATGAAATTTACCTGACACGTAAAAATCGTGACACGTGTGTATAATAAATCGACACAATTATTTAATACCAAATTTAAATCACGTTGATTCATTATTATTATTATTATTATTATTATTATTATTATTATTATTATTATTATTATTATTATTATTATTATTATTATTATTATTATTATTATTATTATTATTATTATTATTATTATTATTATTATTATTATTATTATTATTATTATTATTATTATTATTATTATTATTATTATTATTATTATTATTATTATTATTATTATTATTATTATTATTATTATTATTATTATTATTATTATTATTATTATTATTATTATTATTATTATTATTATATATTATATATATATATATTATTATTATATATATATATATATATATATATATATATTATATATATATATATATATATATATATATATATATATATATATATATAAATCGCACGAATAAATTCGTCGAGTCGATTAAATTAAATTAAGTTAACACAATACGTTAATTACGATGGATTATACAATAATAATAATAATAATAATCAAAATAGGAATCATTACAAATTATTTTACTTTTGTTGTTGTTGTTGTTGTTGTTGTGTGCGTTCAGAAAACTCAATTTTTTTTATCACTCGTTTTAATGACGTCATTTTGTGACGTTGACGAACCGTTGACGTAAATTTTTTCTTTTTTTCCGTTAAAGTTGATGATGATTCGGTAATAAGTTTTAAATTTCAAATTGAAATCGCTTAAATAAAAAATAATAATGATAATAATAATGATGATGATGATGATGATAATGAAAGGAAGCATAAGTTTTTCAACATCGAAAATAATTTAAAATAATTTATTACGTATACATAATTACAAAGGTTTTGTGCCTGTATTTTAATATCGAAATAGGTTTAACTTATTTTTCCGGGGGGGGGGTTTAAATTAATATTATTATTATTATTATTATTATTATTATTATAACGTTTAGAGTAGAATTAATTCGAATAATAATAAATAACGATCGTAATG